ATACTGAATGAACAAATAAATCCATTCAATTGAAGGAATAATTACGTTTATGAATTAGCAGCTATAACTGCAAATAAAAAGTTTACAGCACACGTGTCACTTTGACAATATCAATATTTAAGATATTTTATCATCAGCAGCTTCTTTTCTCTCTGTTATCGTCGCTGCATTGAGTGCTCTAACCTATTACAGCTAACTAAGAAGTCCTTTCGAAAAACCAAATACATCACTGTAGTCAGCAGGACTCAGAATATCGAATGGTTTCGAAAAGTCCGAGGAAAATGCACTCCCGACAAAAGACGCTCTGAAACGCCTCAGGTTTGAAACATACTTTTATTTTGGTATTACAGCGAACTGAAAGGTTTCCTTCAGAACTTGAGTTTATTGCTGAAATTGTCCAGATTTGTGCTATTGAATAAGCAAACAAGCAGCATGAAAAAATTGAAAGACACCCTTGTTTTCTGAAGGGAGTGCGGAAAACAGCGATATTCCAAATGCGTTGAACCCACTCTTCTTGTGCGAATTGCAGCCTCCATAAAGTTCTTTCCAAGGAGCAAACACATTTTGTTAATCAGAAAGATTAGCTCCATCTAATGGTTGGAATTCTGTTATAAAAAACTTTTATAGGGAGATAAATCTTCAAAGTGGTGTAAAATCTCGTTATGAGTGGTAGTGTGTTAGTGTATATGTGTTTACTACTCACCATACTTCGGTAAACAGTAGCCCCATGACCATGTGATTGTAGAAATGGGTAGACTGCCCTCAGTGTGACACGACATGTCACTGAGAACCACTTGACGGCGACGTGGAAGCAGATCGACCATTAGCCATAAGTACAAGCAGATGAAGTTTAGCTGTTATACGAAGCAGTGACGGTCCGCGTTAATTAAGCCATATCATTACAGACATAAGGAGAAATTTCCTTTTCAAAGAAAGAAACAATAATGAATTTCACTTTTTACGCCACTGGATCTTTTCTGTCTCAATTTTTCTTATTTCTTGACCTACAATTCTATATTGTTACCAGTATTTGCCCACCTATAAAAACCATTTTCAATACACAGAAGTTTTTTTTTTTGAAAGCAGACTAAGATTGCTCATTTCTTCTTTTTACGTCGCGCAAAAAGATTCGCAAGAAAGGAAAGGATTACTCTTGAATGTCACTGTATTCTCTGAACAACGGTCTGTAAACGATCTGTCTAAGCGGGGCGTGATATTCGCATCATTGTGAGCTTCACAAGCTCCTCAAATTCTCAAATTCGGTCCCCAAACGTGTAAAAATCTTAGCGAAGGAAGTAAAGTGGTCAAAAGCAGTTTTCGTTGAACATGTAGTTGTTAATTCGTCCTCGTCTCCCAACTATCCACCCATCGTCCACGGTCGGCAAATTGATACTCGATTCTTTCGGGAGGATGAACACAATGAGTTGAGGAGTCCCTGGATCGTACAAGTATTTGATGTATTTGCGCACTAATTCATCTCCACATTGCTTGCGCTTTGTTACTTCCAACTCCTTCAGAAAATCAGTCCTATTTACAATCTGTTTATCCTGCGTAGATTTAAACAAAAATAATTTCTATTGAATATATTATTATGAGCCATCGCAAAACTCACGTTATGCACTTTCTCTCCGTCTTTGTGGAAGCAATATAAATGCGCTTCAGCAAATTTTGAAGGATAGAGTATCAGATGTACATTAGCAATTCCGACAGGTCAGCCTCTACAATTCCAAACTCAAAAATAGCGCAGGCGAACGATTGAAACTTCAATTGTGTACTAGATCACTGAACTGTCGCTGAACCGCAGGGTGCAATACTGGCTTGCAGAACTCGTCAAGATACATTCGATTTGGAAGATTAGGGAAACCATCATTGTACGTCTCGTCTCGACAACGATAATTTGAAGGCGTTAGTGAAAACATGCTCATCACTGTCTGTGAACTCATAGAGATTTCTGTGTATGTCTCAAGTTTTGTAGCATTTGAAAAGCGCTGGAATGATTGAAGTCATGTCCAAAGTACAATATAAGCTCTTTAATTAGTGGTAGTTTTTATAATCCAACGACAGTGTGCAACTCAGTTGAATTACAGTACCGATATGCGCATCTTAGAACAATCTCGTAAAAGTTGACTCATGACAGCCACCGAGTAGGTTAGGTATAGGTGAAAGAAAGGCAGTGAAAGGACCTTGATGGTGCTGTGCCAGTGCGTTCTACCCCTGATAGGTATAGTGGCAGTGGAAGTTCACCGATAAAATATCAAGTTTTGAGCTTTGTCATTTTTCACTTTCTTGTGTTTGAAACTTACATCCTTCCCTGCAGTTTTGAAAAAAATTGATTGATGATCAAAACAAGGATGAAGCTCTCGATGTTGTTCAATCGCCAAGGGATGCGCCATGCATTAGTCTTCACCTAGCATCGGAGAGGCGCTCAAATGGATATCTGGCTTTTACTGACGGTGGCTTATTATTGTATCAACTCAATTCTGCTACCCTTCCAAACAAGTTTGGTATCAATCTGTTCAGACAACATTCTCCATAGTACATCAAATGTTGTCTACTTTTTCCCAGGTGTAAACTATTGACTTGTGCACTTCAATCAGACTCATACGTTGTGCTTTTGTAAGTTGCATGTTTTGTGCTTTGTAAGACGGTTAACTTTCGATGCACTCTAGATACTGTTTTCTGTGAATGCATAACCACATTCGTTACTGTCAGAAGTCGAGCTCTCCTTGTACTTTTGGATTAGTCACGTAGCTGAGCTTATTTTGGTATTTGACCTCTTGACGTGAATTGGCAGTGGATGTATGTCCTGTGATATTAATCTGGGATTTCCATCCTTAGCTTTGACTTTGTTTCGCTCTAATCATCAACCCGCTCCTTGATGAAGTGAATAGCCAGAAGTTAAATCTAGGTTCTCTTCCGCTTGGTTAATCACTCAGCTGTTTTTCCACTGGCTGCGCTAACTGTAATCTTATATACCTTAATGCTGGTGATGTAGTGATGTTTTAGAGACAGACGATAATCCGTACGAGAAGTTCGATACAAAAACTACTAATAAGAGTTTTGTGTGGAGAAATCAATTCAAGAAACACAAACTTTACACTGAAGTTCCTTTGCTACAACCCGCAACATTTAAAATAAGAGGCTTCATGAGCTTTGTGTGTGCTTGCGAACTATGAACCTTGTGTGCGACGCAGTGCACCGCTACCCACTGCTCCACATGCGCTCTTGGTTACGAGAATAGAATACCCGATTGGATGACGATACTCTAAAAGTGGACAGGGCATTTGTACTGTAGTTTCTGCAAATCTTATGCAAGAAATCTAGGAAGAGTCTCAGTAGGACGCGGTAGGTACCTGTCTAGCACTTAGAGCTTAACAGCTCAAAACATATTACATCCTTATCAGGTCATTATTGCTTTGAGCGAGGTCTATAAAAAAGCGATCGAATGGGGAGGTATGATTCATTCTAGCAGCCACAAACTCGACTGCTGGTTCTCCAATGTCAGGTGATTCTGCCACCAGAAATGCGGCGAAATATTACTCAATGTCGATTCCCTCACAGAGGAGTATATCATCAAGGGATGGCTGAACCGTGGGACTGTGCTGCTGAGTAGTTCAGATAGGACGAAACAAGAGCCTTTCTAGCACTTAGACCTCGACGGCTCAAAGCATGTTATATCCTCATCAAATCTAGAAGTTTTAACGGGACGAAGAGAAAATTTTCGTATAAGTAGCGAAACGACGCGGAGAAAGTTCCCTGGTATATTTGCTAATCAAACAGAAAGATTAGAATCTGGATATACATGACAGTGGAATACAACCTATCCTAAATCTTTGAAAGCAAAATTCTGGTTTTTTTTAAATCACAGAAATTTCTCTCACCTTTCTGTCAACGCTTAAGTTCTGAGAATGAAAGTGATCAACAGTAAGTATCTTGCTCACAGCACATCATTGTGTTCACCAAGGTATGGTTCGCTTCAGACAGGCAGGCCTCACGAAACTTTTGTAGCAACTGCTCTAGAACCGATAACATTTTTCGACAGTATGGATGGATTGCACTAAACTGTTTCAGAAACTTTGATCACTGTATCTCTTGAATTAGTAGAAAAGTGTGCCTTCCTCACATTTTCTAAATGATTTTTTTTATTAGAAATTTCTATGACTATATCTTTACTTTCGAATTTTCATATAGAGCCAACAATAAAACACTGACAATCTGATAAACTGATAACAAGTTTTAAGTCTTTTACGAAGTCTGGTGTGGCACTTATACGTATTTGACAGCTGTTTCGCCTTTACAGGCTCATAGGGATATACCCTTACTTAAAAAGGAATCGGCGCCGAATTTGTGGTATATGACGAGTGACAAAATCTTTTGTCATATCTTCCGATATATGAAATAAAATCATGATAAGCATAGACATAGAATTACATTTCGTCAGTTTTGCGAATAAAGATAGGGCGGGAACACTTTATGAATGCAGTACTCCTTTGAGAGTTTGGGAAACCCATTGTTATTTTCTGGCAGTCCTATTTAGATGTATGTGACCTCACGTTGTCATATACCAAGCCACCTGAGCCGTTTTAATACTTTGTACACGATCGACGTGTTCTTACAACAACGTCACCAACAGCAATTATTGCTATATGATCAGAGCCTTACACAACTTCAGAGTATTATCATCTAATGCAGTACTGTCCACTAAGATGTGATGACTGTTACCAGTGTAACATGCCTTCATTGTGGGAAACAAGTTGACCAGAAATGCACCATCAATGAAAAAAAAAACAATTTAACACCGTTAGCCTACGAATCGCACTGAGCACAAACGTCCCAGTTGGAATTGCATGGGAAGATTGCATGGTTTCATTGCCAAATAGCAGACTAAGAACAAAAACATCACTAGGGTTTTGTCAGTCGAAACGAAATCACTACTAAAGCAACTTTTTCCGCTTTCACATTGACATTTGCTGTACTGTTTCCGGTAACTTCACTGTCACGTTCACTTCACTAGTGCAGTAGCAGCACGCGTCTCTGGTAAGGATGAAACGCGGGTTCGATTCCCTCCTGAGACCATGATTTTTCTCGCCACTCAATTTTCTTAGTATATACGAAACATCATAACACTGCGAAAAATGCGTCAAGAATAGTAGTAATTTTGAGTAACTTCACTGTCTCAAATATATTTTTGAGAATATATCCTGTAGAGTACCAAGTTGTGGTTCGTGATATGCAGAATAACTAAGCTAGCAAGTGATGGATGGTAGATGGACAGAGGATTACCACATTTTTATGAAAACAATTCAAGCAACGCTGTTGTTGCAGAGTGATCTCCCTCGACAGTTTTCATTTCGTACACCGCCGCAAGTTGCACATAGTTTGCCATTTGTGTACAGTGGGACACCAATACTGACGTGCCTATGGGATGAGTTAAACTCTACAAGAAAAAAAACAGTTCAACTATTTCTGACGACTTACGATGGCCCATATGTATAAACAAATGGCACGAAAGGAAGAAAGCTATTTTGGCACTTATGGAATGCACATCCGAACTTAGTCGTTGTTCCATTTACGATTTGAAATTCATTTTCTTCCTCATTACCTTAGTACTATTAGCTTAATTTTGTCAAAAGTTAAAGTCGGGCGAACTCTTATCAGGATTCCCCACAGATTTCAAAGCTACTTCAAACTATTGGACAGTGGTATCCAAGTTCGACGCCACCCGACGCCGCCTATCATAAAATGCACCTTCACATTTTAATGCAAGGATCCCAGCACTTCCATCGCCCTATTCGATTCCTCGCATTCGTTCTCCACAAGGGTCTTCAAGCAATTCACATATTGTTTCGACTGCTGCAGGGAAAATTTGTGGTTTTCATGATTGACTAAAATGCGGATCGTGCAACCTCCTACGTCCCTTATCGTTCAGTAGTAGTTTTGATTCTAAGTGTCACAATCTTTTGCTAGTCTACAGTAGAGATCCTTTATATGAAGAAAACAACGTTTTAACAGTTTCTACAATTTACCGCTTTTGCGACGACGAGCTCGATAGTGTTGACGTAACGACCACTGAAAGTAGCGTTTTGCTGTCGACATAATTGAAGTCGGGATGGCTTGCGTGATTACAATTGAATTTGGCAATATCAAGAGATTTGTTTTCTGAGTCGCAGCTACAAAACTGTAAAACCAATATGAGAATCAATTTTCCAAAAGAAAAAACAAGAGCATTATTGTTCCGGAAAAAATTCTAGTCACCAGATAGCTTATGTCGTTCGCCTTTGGGTATCCTCCAGCCTTTCCCTTCGCCAAAGTTGCTTCAGAAAGCAAGCTTTCCTCAAAAGCATTTTACCGATTTGAAAAATTAGAAAATGTTATCAACCTTTCATTGTTGTGCCCAAATTTGGCCGTGCCTCTCATGCGCTGTGTCATAGATGTTCCATTGCAATGTACCTTTTGAACAGAACAGCAAAGCATTAGTCTTCGATAAACATAGCCACAAAAAGTTTTCTGATAAGAAGTCACTTGGGTAGATGTGAAAAGGAAGGAATCACATACCACTTTGTGCGATACCGGATCGGAGTTCCTGAGACATATTAGTACAGAAATTTTACCAAAACATTGCCATCGTCTTCAACACATTCGTTACAAAGCTATCTCGCCTATGTGAAAGGACCACTTCGTTTCTCAAAAAAAAGAAGTGGAAAAAAAATAACGAAATCTTCCAAACCTGAAGAAGAAACTCACTCTGTCAGTCACTTCGAACTACGTATAATTTAGAATAATCTCTTCAAATTTCAATTAATTTGAAGTTAAAATGTCTTAACTAACTGAAATGTGGACTAAATCAAAGTGAAAGTTCCAAAAATTTCCTGAGCAAGTCCTTGATTTGTAAAAGCTAGCAGTACTCTATAGAACACAGTTATGTGTTGAAGGACAGCCTATCACTATCCAGCAGCATTCGTTCGAAATTGAGCGTTGACAATTAAGAGCTAAATTTCTACGGACTCAAGAAAATCAGAATTTTCTTTTGGCAAAATAGGAAAAGCGGTTCTTTTCCGTTAAAAAGCACGGGATAAGGAAACAACCACTTTTTCTGGACAAAGATTCTTCATTGCACTTTTAGTGATTTCTGAAAGCTCAAATCTCTAGCCAGCGCGTTGCGCGGCCGTTTTTTGGAAGAGTCATTCTAGAGCGCCTTAACAAAAGGAAACTATATGTGTTTCACACACGCATATTTCTTGTGAGATAGAACTCCTCAATCGATTTTTAGTAACCTTTCGATAGTGTAAGTTTTGAACATTCCAATTCTATGTTTATTTCTCAAAGACGATCTCCCTGCAGTGTAGCACAGAGAATAAGGTTGAGTTTTACATACTCGGCACAGTCGTGTGGCGCTATAGCCGGATTAGAGCTTTTGGATGATTATTAACGCCCTAATAAAAAGTTCTTGCCTAGCAAATGGGTCGAATATTCATTTGTCGCCGTCTAACAGAAGAGAACAGAAACTTTTTCTACGCTTAAAAAGAACTCGGGATTGTACTCGTGTTTTCAGCGAAACATACGCGCGATAATTTGAGCGCTACAGCGTTCTAGAAGGGTCTTTTCGGGAAGTGACCTTGTAGCGCTGTAGCCAAAGATTTAAGCTTTCGAATGATCACTGACACTCTTTTGAGGAAGCTTTTAGCACACAATAGAGGTCGTTTTATTGCGTGCCGTCCAACGGAAAAGAACGGGAGAGTGTTCACTTTGATCATGATCTACATCTCACAGTGATTTCAATTTTGTGACGAGAAAAACGAAGAATTTACCAACCTTAGTGGATTTCCATACAAAAAAAAACTTTGTGTGTTGAGCATAAGTCTGTATAGGTAGACGAATAGTAGTAGTAATATAAAATTGCAAGTCAACAAATAAAAAAATTCTGACAGAAAAGTACTACTGGGATAGAACGTAAAAGTGAGTATTGTCTTTTTTTAGGGAGAAAAATTTTTGCTGTGTGATGCAGTTTGATTAACGTGAACCGCCATCGCTTTGTATAACAGTCAAACTTCTTCTGTTCAACTTATGACTAATGACCGATCTGCCTCCCCGTGACCACGGTCATATGAACTATTTGACTTATATATTGACCTGGAATACCTTCGATGCATATAGTCTCTGTTACCTACCTCTCAGGCAGCTGTGATACAACTTTAGCCTTTCTTCGAAGAAGTGAGACGCATAGTGAGGCCAAACGTACTTTTTGTCACGCTTTTTTCGCTTTCATATCACATGTTCTATACCCGTTATGACTTATTTCACCACTTCGCAAACTCTTTTTGCAGCAATTGAGTCAGATCTGGGGTGTTCTCGAAAAGCATACTGATTAAGGTAACACTGGAGCGTTATCGATTCTTTACGTACGATCGGAATGCAATTCTCGCAATGGTACAGAACCAATCTGCAATTTTTCTGATCCCATTACAATTAAATTCGATACTTTTCCGTTATCTAAAAGGGTTTTCAAAAAACCTTTCTCGCTTTACAAAGACTTTTCACTAAACCTTTACAGCCCTTTGAAAACCTGAATCTCGATGGGGCTACTGCTTAGCAAAGTGTGGTGAGTAGTGAACACTGCGGGCGTTGACCAGTTAATGATGGGATATACACTGACCTTTTCCAAAAACGGTGAGGCGAATGAACTATCTGACTTACACATTGACTTGAGGTAGCCTATCGGTATATGTAGCCGGTGTTACTTTCCTCCCAGGCAGCTGTGGTAGACTCTTAGTCGATTCATAAAAAGTGGGTCGCTTGGTGAGGTCAAACGTTCGTTTTGCCACGCTTTTCTCGCTTTCATATCACATTTTTAGCTCATTCAGAGCTCCAGCGTGTGCTTACTATTCTAACACTTCGCAAGCTCTTTTTGCAGCACTTGGACCAGGTTTGAGACGTTTTCAAAATTATGAGACGCATGCTCCTCACTATAACACTGGAGTACCATCAGATTTCGGCGTACAGTCGGAGTGTAAATATTGCGATGTTATAGAACCAATCAGCAATGTTTCTGATCCTATTACAAATGAATTCGATACTTTTCCATTATCTGAAAGGCCCTTTAGAAAACCTTTTTCGCGTTACAAAGACTTTTCACTGAACTTTTACAGCCCTTTGAAAGCTTGAATCTCGATAATTTTGGAAGCACATTTGTTTTTTGAAAAAAAACGTGCTTGTTGCGTTGTATCACTAAAAAATCTGCATCTTACTAGCGATACGCGTTATCATGCGTTTTTTGGTGGAGCAAGCGTTTTCTTCAAACTCAATGATCTCAGCAATTTTCAACAATCTCAACACTGTATTTGATTTCTGAAAAGACTCTTTTATTGAAATGGCATAACAATTAATACTGAGTATCACACACACATTTTCTTTTGCCGGATAGAGCTCTTTTTTTGGACTGCCAGAAGAAATTAATATTTCTATATCAATACCTGCTTGCTTTGAAAGACTTTTTGCTGCATTGCTGCAAGAAAAATATGATTGTGTATCATCAGCGTTGTCGGCTAGGGGTGTGTGAATGGTTGTGAATCGATGGCACAAAGCGATTCACATGTAGTGTGAATTCTTATTACTGATTTTAGAATTATTTCTCCGTTAAAGAAGTTTGGATGAAGTATATGGCACTGATAGTTCAAGATTTTCTCTACGTGTTCACCAGCTTTCTGTGCAAGGTTTAGGTTGCTTGAGTTTAGGTATATTAGCGGGCTTTTTTGGAGATATAAAATAAACATGAAAAGCACAAACCCTAAAAACGACAAAACAGGGATTATTTTTTCACAATTTTAGTACAGAAAGCCTGGAAACCCTACGAAACAGTAGGAAAACTTTCCAATTATTATAGAATACGTGCAACGATAAGCGAAACATCTGTAGTATAATTTTTTTTCCACTGCCACAGCGATGTAATGAAGCTTCTTCGAAGTTTATGAAACTTATGCTTCCAAATGACTACTAGAACTCTTTCATTATTATTTGAGCCAGCTTGTCATGTGGTCTGGTAAGGGCTCTTGTACAGCCCGATACACGTGTTTCGTCCT